AAATGAATATGACCACGATGAGTACATTCCGGCAAATCTTTCCCTGTAGACAACGATACGTTCGGTAGCAACAAATGGCAGAACCGAAGTGCAGTTGCCTATCCCCGTGATTTGCACAAAGATAAACATCGATCCAAGTATGTCGAGAAGATCCTGCTCGTCATTTCTTTAAAACAAAGAACCACGTTTTAGCATCTTAGACGGTGAGTTGTACAGCTCCTAATCCTGATGTTTGACAAGCCGCAAAAGATTTTTCCCGGACTAACTAGGTTTATGAACTACTTACATTTCCTTTCCTTTCTGCCAAAGGAGAGCGGCACACATCAAGGAAGACGCCGTAATGAAAAGCAAGCGCACCAGGTTGTATTTAGGGCTTCTCCAGTAGGTTAAATGTTGTTTCCACAAGCATGTTTTGAACTGCTCCCACCTATTTTGCGGGAAGCGTGCAGAGAAACATATTTGTTTTGTGCCAGCCGCCGGAAAACTTAGCTCTCCAACTAATTCTTGGTTCGTCCTATAGAGATCAACAAAATGCATCAGCAGACATCATTTTTTTCCCATAGCAAGCACAAGAAGCATCATTTATGATCACATGTTGTCAGTTTCTGGTCAGAACTCCAAGTTCGCATGACATGAGAGACAGGAGCACTGAATTTTGCAAATTGTGCGCTTAATGAGCACTGTATGCTTACCTGCATTGATCAGACTCCTTATAAATGATGCCGTAGTCTATACCAAGTTGAGATTCTAGCGAAGGACTTGTGATCTCCAGCATCCACGTTGCAGGGTTGTAATTATCCCTGATTTTTGGCACTCCAGGAATACTCTGGACGAGGGAAATGTAGAATTCATTAGTCAAGCTTTCTCAATTCAATTTAAGTTTTTTCATATCCAGTGTAGAGTACCTCATAAGAATATTCAATAGTTTTGCCTATTTCGTATATTTTTCTTCCTTTCAGTTATATCAGCATTGTTTGCAGCTTACAATAGGAGCAATTCATCCTTAACGACGTGCAAATTATGAAAAAGAAGCATAAATTGAAGAGCTCACGCCAGAGGTGTAACACTTACCTCAAAATATTTAATAAGCTTATCCGAATGCTCGCCAAGCTCTCCAGAGTATATCATTTGACCTCCTCTTTTCATCAGGATCAGCTGCATAATTTATCAAATGCGACATGCTTTAGTCATGTTCTTCACAGTTATTATAACATTTAGAGAAAATATGTGGAGTGAGTTGTGCATCATGCGAGAATTGATATGCGAATGCGATGTACACCGAAACTCTATTGTCTAAGCATAATTACAGTGAGTAGAATAGACTGTTATAGGAATAAATGCATTAACAAGTTACCTCATCAAAAGCCTCAAATATGTCGATGCTTGGCTGGTGAATTGTACAGACAATTGTCCTCCCTGTGCTAACAATATTCTTCACGACTCGCATTACAATGGCGGCTGCTCTGGCATCGAGACCAGAAGTAGGTTCGTCCATGAATATGATCGACGGGTTAGAAACAAGCTCCACTGCTATAGTAAGCCGTTTACGCTGCTCAGTTGATATACCAGTTACACCAGGAACACCAACTATGGCACCTTTGATGTCATCTAGCTCAATCATTTCAAGTACTGCAGCCACAAATTCCTGATTGACAACATATAATTCAGTTATGATGCAGATTTAGCTACTGAGTGGTGCAAAATCTCATCACTCGATATGTGACGCAAGAGACCAAATTTAGTTTTTTTCTGCTTGCTGGTTTGATCAACATGAAAATATCTAGCGAACAAGTTCTTCGTCCTTCCTAGACATCAGCTAATTATAAATAACTACAGATGATGTGCTAAAATCTGTCCAGTTGAGCACAAGATTTAGCCGTTAATTGGCACATATCCGGACAAGACTGTGAACAAGATTTATCCAACAACAGGTAAAAAAAGATTGAAATTCGTGTCTCAATGCGTGATGTACAAAAAACTTCCGGTTTTATCCACTTATTGAATTCTCTGATCCTCAATCTGTTTGTTCCAAGATAAATTCCGGCTCAAATATTAAGGAAGAGGGTATCAAAATGTCGGGCGTATTCTATCCTGATGAAGAAAACTTACAGCTCTCGTGTTTTTGTCAATGTGGGCTGGCAACCTTAACCAAGCTGAGTATGCCACCGATTCCTCAATTGTAACTTGTGGAGAATGTATGTCGGTTTGCTCACAGTAGGAAGATATTCTGGCGTAAGTGGCTTGAACTTTAGGATACCCTCCGACTTTTATATCTCCTTCGATAAAACCGCCAGTTTTCCTTCCTGAAAGAACATCCATCAACGTTGTTTTCCCTGCTCCACTAATGCCCATCAAGGCCGTTAGGACTCCGGGTCTGAATGCTCCAGTAATATCTCGAAGAAGTTGTAGTCTTCTCTCTGGGAAACCTTGCTCTTTCAGTTTCTGACAAACATTGGAGGTTCCATTATGCGAATCATTAATTGATATGATATGCACAACAATACTTTATGTTCAACAACTGAAATGCCTCACCTTGGGTGTTTCGACGAAGTACCGAACGTTTTCGAACGTTAGAGTTGTGGGTTCAAATGGTAAAACCATCCCTATCCAATTTCAAAATTGCAATTGTCACTAAAACCAGAGGCAATATAACCTTATTTAAACTATTCACTAGTACTCATGAATGTATGATATCAACCATTCATTTGCAGTTTTGCATATTTAAAATAGATGATAATGGACTAACTCCTTATGAATCTTCTTACCTCTAACTCTAGTTTCTGTGGTATCTTTGTTAGCCACCTGTTCTCCTAGAGCAGGATGGTTAATGTCTCTGTCTTTATCCAGCTGGGAGAGCTTCTTACTAGAGACAACAGCTCGAGATCTACTTGGAGCTGTGATTAGCCGATAAATACACGTTACATAGTGAAAAAATGTTGACCGCTGAGAATTATCTTGGCTTGCATTTTCAATTACCTTTAGAAAAATTCAGAGCACAGGTGAACCCAATGTTGAAAACCATCCAAAATCCAATCAAAGACCCAAGTGATATCCAGTAAAAGTAGTTGCTATAATCTAGACCACGCTCTTTGAGCACTTGTTGCCCCAGAGTGCCATTAAGAGATGAAACCTGCGAAGGTCAATAATCCTGTCAAATACTAAACAAAACCATCATCATGTTGAATCCACTCTTACGATACTGGTTTGTTCTTTGAGATGTCACCTTTTCCCACCTCGGAGCGAGAAACTCATTAAGGGAAGCACCTATTTCTGCATATGACAATGGTGAGAACCAGAAGCCCCACTTCAACCAACCGGGTAGAGAAGCTGCAGAGAGACAAGGTTTCTAAGTTCCTGTCACTTTTTGAAAGTCCCCACCACAAGAATCGGTAAAACTACTGAACTTACGTTTTGGGATGACAAAGCCACCGAATAAAAACAAAACGAGTAAAGAGAATAGACCGCAAATTGCCGCAACAGGTGGATTTCGAACAACAGAAGCTATCAACCGGAACATTGATATTGATACTTGATGTACTAGGAAGAGCAGGAAGAATTGATAAAAGAACCTGACAGTCATCCAACAAGTTGGAAATGAGAATGGCTAAAATTCACATCATCTCTCTGATATAGCGAAAGTTTGGAATTACCTTTGTGGTTCAGGACTATAACCGACTCCATAATAGGTAATAGCTGTCCACAGAAACGCATCAAGTAAAGAGAATGGGATTTTCAGAACGGCCGCTGGAATCGTATAAGCCCATGCAGGGTAGAAGAAAAAATCCCGTTGCTTGTAAAAGACTGCAAGTCTAGAAACAGTCATTGCCAGCTCCTGAATGCCAATAACCATGAGTCGGATGAGAGCGTAATATAGGGAACCCATGAAAAGATCCGCATGCATCAAGTCGAGTTTCATTCGCGTCCGCAAGAAGACGGTCACTGTTATAACTGCAACTATCACAAGCTGCAAAGAGAAACCACCAACTCGATGAATTTCGCGTAGATTTCTCATTAACCATCTGGTATGACTGCATATATTGAGTCCCAATAGGCAATACCTGTGCTGATTTGAAGACATGAACAAACCAGTTGCGCTTCATGAGGAGCCATTCTCTCGAAAGACATGCTTTGAACAACTCCCACTTTTTTAACGAGTAAATTTCAAAAGATAAGGCACTTCTGTGAAGCTCAGATTTCTCAAAAGGCCTGGCAAGTTCCTCGTCTAGTTTCTTTGCCGGCGGAAGCTCTTTAAACATCCTCGCAAACATGCTTGGAGATATGAAATTATAAGTCCTGTCTTTGTGATGCCAGTATTGTGCCTGATCTTTTACGGAAACTACCTGCCAAGAATTCCCAAAAACAGCATATGTCAGCACTAACCTTTCACAGTTCGGATATCCCTTTATTAAGCGAGAGTGCATACTTCTTGGAGAAAGTCAGCAATGCCTTTTCTCGTTGGGCACTTGAAACCACAGTGTTCAAAGAAGCTGAGAACATCGGTCCGAGGTCCATGGTACACTATATGTCCCTCTGCCATTAGAATTAAGTCATCAAAGAGATCAAAAGTCTCGGGTGCTGGCTGAAGAAGCGATACCAAAATTGTGGACTCTGTTATGTGTGCCAATTGCTGCAAGCATGTAATGATCTGAAAGGTAGTGGAGCTGTCCAAGCCTGTTGATATCTCGTCCATAAATAAAACTCTCGCCGGACCAATTATCATTTCCCCTGGAAGAGAGGACACTGTGAAAGATCTGTAATGAAGCCTACAACTTCCAATGTGACATAGAAGCTGTTCCTATAAGTTTCTCATTATTTGCTGTCAGTTCACATAAAACTAACCAGTCGTCAACCTTCTCTTTTGACCACCAGAAATTCCTCTGTTCATCGCATCCCCGACAATTGTATCTGCGCAGATGTCGAGTCCAAGAACCTGAGAAGGCGAGAGATGGTAAAAAAGTGCACGATTGTGTGTGAAAAATAAACTTGCTAATTGTTTTTTCTCATGGATACATTACCTTTACTATGTAGTCTGTTTGGAGTGTTCTTTTCAGCCCTCCTACAGATATTGCCTGTTCATATCGAATAAAGTCATCAGAAACCAGTATTTGCCAATTGCTACTATAACTGGAAAATTGAAAAACCCAAAAAAGATGAATCCAACTTTATGCAAACATTAACCTTCATGTACGTGTCTATGCTTGGCTCTGGATTAATTCCTGCTTGCTTCTCCCTTTTACTAACTTCTTTCAATATGTCTTCAACCAAAAGCAACATAAATACGATCAGAAATGATCACTGGAACAAACAGTAACTTCCAGGTCGGAGACTAAACTGGTACCTGCCCTTCCTCCAATGCCCTGACAACGTGCAGAGAAGTCGAGCGTCTCCCTCACAGTCATCTCGGAAATATGCAAATCATATTGGCTTATGTAAGCTGAAGTCTTTTGAGGAACAAACTCATTCAGCTTGTAACCGTTGTAGGAAATCTCTCCCTTGACCTTGATCATACATCATTTGTCAATTCCACTGATCTTACAGTAATGCGTGATCATTTGTGTCTGAATATGTTCTAAGAATAGTAGCTATTCTTCTCAGCATGGAACATCTACAATTAACTGAATACCGAAAGGTAATACCTTGAGCGATTTCTCTGATTTGCCTGCTAATGCTTGTAATAAGGTGGTCTTTCCGCATCCCGGCGGACCTAGCAATAGTGTCATCCTGCAACAATTTCAAGAGGTAAAGATTACGCCGCATAGCCGCATCATGTATATCAACTTGTGAATCTAAATCAGTGTATTTTATAAGCTTTACTAGCCTTGCAGGCTTAAGGACGCCGCTGATGTTCTTGAGAATTCTTATCTTGCTCCCCTGATGCTTGCAGCCAACCTTATTTGTTGGAGCCTGCTTCACAGGAAAAAGAGGGATCATGGTTCCTGTGCTTATGTCTTATGAAGTTGACCAGAATGGACTACAATAGCTTGATGGAATAGAGCAGCAGTTGCATGAGCTAATAATTTTGATATCAAATACGCCATTTAAAGATAACAAAAATCAAGTTAAGAAAGAGTACATATATTATCTCCTGATAAAACTCTTTAGAATAGAAAGTAGGTGCGACTGGATTCTGCATGGGTTTTATTAGGAATTTTTCTTGCAAAAATCAGTACTTGGTTTTCTATACAAAGACACGGTGCAACGCTTACGTTGCACCCCATCGTTTCATGATAAGTGAAAAATTTGAAACTAGATGCTTTTCAATCTGGTCCCATTGAGACATGGTTGTTCTAAAACTGCCAATTTCCTAACAGTAAGGTCTATTTGGAACGCATGGCTGATATCAACGTCCTGGTCTGATGTCTCAATAATGACGTTCTTTGAAATTCCAACTTTCAACAAAAGTGTCAAAAGTAGTAGGCTATGGCCAAACATAGTTTCCTACAGCAGAAAATTTGTTCTTTGACTTCAGTTAAATCGTCCTGGATGAATCTTAGAAAACGTACAAGCTTGGAGGAGAGAGAGAGGAAGATACAGAGGAAAATCTCACGTAGAAAATGGTCTTGAGTGCGTTCCAAAGAGTTGGGATGGGCTCCCCATGAACCGCTTCGACGTCAGCTTCTATGCACAGGTTCTGATATCTCACTTCCACTGTCGGTAATTCAAGACCCACTCTGAGAATTTAATATCATATTTAGCTACACTTTGGCATATAAAATAGTTGAAGATGCATGAAACAAAAAAAAATGTCTGCCGTTTGCAGCCGTAAGATTAGAACAGGTATAAAAGTACAGAATGTCTGCCTCTCCACTCGCTCACGGAGCTTCTGAAGAAGCCGGAGATTGTCCTAATTCGGTCTTCTTCAACAGGCCGTCCATGAACACCCGCCTCTCGGAGTCCCCGAGCTTGGCCACGTCCACCACCTCGCGGTCGAGCATTGCCGCCCTCAGCCGCCGGAATGTCGGCAGCCTCTCAATCGCCTCCCACTGCAGCTCCAGCTCGTCGTCCTCCCGCCAGCGATCCTCGCCGAATGTCTACGCCGTCTGGCCCTCCAAATCAGGGACGCTGCTGAAGCTGCTCGAGGCGCGGTGGTGCAGCACCAAGGAGAAGCTCCGGCTTCGTCCTCCCTCCATCTCGGAGGGCTCGATCCTCATGGACGAGGCCTGATCGCCACTCATGGTGGACGACAGTGCCCTTTCGATCGTTTTGATCTTTTCGGACAAATGTAGGTGTGGACGTTCATCTTATAGTGTGTGGGTCGATGCCACACCAGCGCAACAAAGTGTGGTCGCTTTACCAATGAGAACGAGATGCTAACGAGAAGGCGAATCGTGGGCTACCGATCACATTAAGGACAAGTGTATTCAAAGGTTTCAGGATGATCTAAAATTAGCAAAGTCCAAAAAGTTAATTAAATTATTGTGGTTTGACATTTGAGGTAGACGACAAATTGTGTTCTCCGTGGAATTCTTCAATACTGTTCCGTTGTCATCTTTGTGAGATTCCATTATGTTATCGAATTGACTTCACATTGATGTTGACTTGGTTCTGAAGTCACTTTTATATTCCGAAAGCAATGTAAATCACGTTGAGAAAAATGACGCAAACAGTTCATGAATTTTAAAATCAATGTGTAATGTGATCCATAAATTTTTAATTTATTTAACGTGATTCCTAAACTCTGGCTATTTTACACAATTATTATTTACTTATTTTTTAAGTGATCGTGAAACTCATTTGGATAAACTAATTCATAATCACGAAAATGTAAGAAGGGTTGGGTTGGGTTGGCTCACCTCTGCACTCGCTCACGGAGCTTCTGGAGAAGCCGGAGATTGTCCTCTTTGATCGTCTTCAACAGGCCGTCCACGAACACCCGCCTCTCTGAGTCCCCGAGCTTCGCCACGTCCACCACCTCGCGGTCGATCACCGCCGCCCTCAGCCGCCGGAACGTCGGTAGCCTCTCAATCGCAGCCTGCTGCAGCTCCAGCTCGTCGTCCTCCCGCCGGCGATCCTCACCAAATGCCGACGGCGTCTGGTCATCCGAATCAGCAGCTACGCTCCTGAAGCTGCTCGAGGTGCGATGGCGCAGCGATGAAGAGAAGCTCCGGTTCTGCCTTCGCTCCATCGTGGACGAGGTCGGCTCATCGCTCGTTGCGGCCGACTGTGCCATTCTGATTGTGTGTGATCTTTTTGGGGCAAAGGCAGGGGGAAGTTCTTCTTATATAGTGTGGAGCGGGCGCCATGTCGGCTAAGCGAATGCGTGAGAAGGTGCATGGGTCAATTTAGCCATTATATTTGAATTAATGCATTAAAGGTTTCATACTCTAAAAGATGCGTTGTTCTCCTTTTGGGTTGGCAAACCTCGTGGCTACACGTGCTAGTCAACTTAGATTGTTAAATTCTGACCAAAAAAAAAAAACCTTAGATTGCCAAATGTCCATTTTTTGCACACAGGATTCCGCAACCCGCAATTTGATTGCATAACTACAAAAGGGTTAGCTTAATTATTGACACGATTTCAAATTGATATCTCAAAAAGTTTGATCTTTATTCCAATCAAGATGTCCCGTTTAGGGTTTTCTTGCCCATGTATTCTAAATTCCGACGCACTGAAACTGACTTTAGCACAACCACATCACGGAGTGCATGCACCACGGCCAGCCACTTTTTTTTCACCGGCGTTTAGCCGATGAGGCGAATGGATTCATATTCATCTAGTGTATGTGGTCATTTGAGAGAAAAAAAAAAAAAAGGTCAACTGTAAGGGGTTTCTCGGCTCACTTCTGGGGACCAATTGGAAATTTTTCCACAGAAATTTAAATTCGGTGCAAATTAAAAATTGGTTCAATTCACTTTGAGAAATATATCGTAAATCAATGAATATGGATTGGGTTATATTATATGTTAGTCAACTTTTGCCTCCCAAAGATGATTTTCTTTGACATAAAATGCATGCTACACGAAAGACAACTGGCGTTACAGAAACTAGAAGAATATGGCCCCTCGTTGACCAATTTTTTCCATTACATCACATGCTTTTTGGTCATACTCTATTAAATAATTCTTAAATAGTTGCCTAATTTAGCTTCCTTGGTCCGCCTGCCATCGGTCATTCGTCATAGTGACGTCTCCCGAAGAAATTATACATATGTAAGTTTTTTTTGGCAAAAGAACACTACAAGTGCCATAACTTGTGTACGGCGCTCACTTTAGTACCATAACTTTTTTTTTAATCAATTTAGTGCTAAAATTTTTTAAAAACGATCACTTAAGTGCCAACTCCGGTGCCGTACACAATTTTTCGCAGGAAATATGACGTGTCATTTTTTTTATTAATTTCTGAAGTTGACGTGGCTCGCCGGAGTCTCGCCGGAGATTGGCACTTAAGTGATCGTTTTTCAAAAATTTTAGCACTTAAGTGATCGTTTTTCAAAAATTTTAGCACTGAAGTGATCCAAAAAAGAGTTATGACACTTAAGTGATCGTTTTTCCTCCGACTTGGCACCAAAGTGATCCGAAAAAAAGTTATGGCATCAAAGTGAGCGCCGTACACAAATTATGGCACTTATAGTGTCCTTTTGCCGTTTTTTTTTTATCTGTCCTATTTTAACTCTCAACTAACTCTCAGATTTTTACCCTATTTCTTTACAGAGCGTGAGAGTCGAAACCCACATCTGAAACTAAATGTCCCTACCCTTAACCCCCGAGAAACCGGGAATCAAACTTCTTACCTTTCCCAAGGGTGGCCACTGGAAAAACCCTAGTGGTTCACGTATGTAAGTTAATTTACTGAAAATTGACATTTTTTTTCCGTTTCTCTTCTTAGGAGACACGTTAAGATAGGAACAGTAATTCTTCTGCACCATGAAAATTCTTCTTATTCTCCTTTTCTATTGATGGTTGTGACGTGAGAATTCTGCCTGTTAAAATGGAGAAATTATGCACCATGACCCCTAGCCCCCCGAGAAAGCGGGAATCAAACTCTCCACCTTTTCCTTTTCAAATAGGAAGGGTGGTCACCGGAAAAATCCTAGTGATTTACGTATGTAAGTTAATTTACTGAAAATTAACATTTTTTTTTCCATTTCTCTTCTTAAGAGATACGTTAAGATAGAAATAGTAATTCTTCTGCACCATGAAAATTCTTCTTATTCTCCTTTTCTATTGATGGTTGTGACGTGAGAATTCTGCATGTTAAAATGGAGAAATTACGCACCATGAGGTACTTAGCCATGCTCATGTGATGGACCACCGGTTTGTTAGTCCGAGACCTTGTTCTCCACACGTACCTCAAATTGATTATGACCCACCATCTTTTTTTCCTAGTCAATTTGCTAACCAACCCACGGTTCCAAGCATCTTGGTCCATGGCATCGGGCTCAACTCATCATTTACATTTGATCGCCTTGACATCCTATTTGATTACATATTCACATTACTAAATTTGAGGAGCTTTTTTCTCAATAAAAAAAGGACATATAATGTAACGACCCGGTCCGACGAGGGCGGGGAGTGGTCGCCGGGGCCAGAGGGCCTGGACAAGGAGCGGCTCTTGGCAGGCTTCTACGATGGCAAGGGGGGGCATGTCTCTTGTCCCACATCGCTTAGGGGGGGAGTCCTGGGCTAGTTTATAAGGCTTGGGTTCTCTACTCTGTGTAACGCGTTTTAAAGCCGTGAGGGTCAGTGGGCCCAAAGCGGACAATATTACACAGTGTAGACCCCGGGTCCTTACAAATGGTATCAGAGCCGACTCCCGACCGCGTGTGGGGCCCCAGCGAGGACGCTGTGCTCGAAGGAGGGGAGAATGTAACGACCCGGTCCGACGAGGGCGGGAAGTGGTCGCCGGGGCCAGAGGGCCTGGACAAGGAGCGGCTCTTGGCAGGCTTCTAGGATGGCAAGGGGGGCATGTCTCTTGTCCCACATCGCTTAGG